GATTTAATATTATTAATAAACTTTTTAATTTATTTTATAAAATGTGATGTATCAGAAGTGATGATACGGCCTATACTGTACATTATTAATTAATAGTCTTTTAATACAGTAATAAAATAAAAGTATGTCGTCATAGTATTAACGGTGTAGACTCGTGTTTTTTGAGATCGGTCTTTTACTGATGTTAGTCAGTTCAGACTAATTGACAACTCCACATTGTGTTTCGAATGAACGAAAGTTCTTTGAGCTCAGCATCCACTTAAGTAAATTCCAAATTCACTTAAGTGGTTTGGTTTCAAAACAACATAAATGAAAATTGAATTTGAAGAAATTGAGATAAGAAAATGTACGAGTATTAAAATTGCATTATCTAATATTGCTCTACGATGTCTTTAAAAAACTTATTATGTGGACGATAGTTATTTTAAATACAGTATCTAAATCGGAGCGTCTATATTTTCATGAATAAATTTACACTCTTGCATTTTACCAGTTATAATAGAAGTTAATTACATTCCTGTAGCTCCTTGCACACTAATAATTTTAAGATATTAGTGTTTGGGCTTATAGATTTAATTAAAAAAGTTAAATCAAGAATTTGTTGACTGGTTTAAAAATGTAACAAGTAGAGATTTCAAAAATCAAGATTTTATTTATATTTATCAAAAACATGGCTTTCTTAAAAGCAACTGAAGTTTTTCAATACATCCATATCTTTAAAGCGCTTGGGGACCCAACTTATAGAAGATCTGCTAACACTTAAGTGCTTAGCAATTTTCGAATTGATAAGCCTTCCAAGCTTTTTTTTACACAAAGAAGTTACTTGAAAGTATCCGTATTCAACCAGAGATCCGTGTATTTATGATCACGTGGAAATTATGTGCGGCATAGCGATAGGATTAAACGCTACATGACGATAAATATTCCATTGATATTTGCAGAGGCTGAGTCTATTGTTTATAAATTTAAAAGCCTGAAGCTTAGGACATTCTCAAGCATTTCCCTTACTGGATTCAACGGGGCCTCTCTGATCCAACTGGCCAATCAGATTCTTCATCAAATTATTGAGAGAAGTACATGAAAGCTGTCTTTTAGTTTCTCTCTCAAAATACTAACAATAATATTTTATAATTTAGTTAGCATGGCTGAGGTAATTAAACAGGGTTTTTGTAATAGTTATTTCCTGGGCAGTTGGGTATAAGCGGGGCTGAAAGTCCCGCTTATCACATAGTGCCCAGGACAGGACATAACTGATTTATGCCCTGCGATGTGACCAGGGTATAAATGTGATGATAATGTTTATTATTTGAGTAAACTAAATAATTTTAATATTTCTACGGGTGCATTAAGTTAAATAATAATGAATTATTTGTTTATTAATTTTATCACATTTTGGTAATTAAAATTTCATTTGACAAAGTTTGAAACATAGCTTCTATTATTTGTAAGAATAAAGCTTTAGATTTTGTCTAACAATAATATGCAATGTCTAAAATAGATGCCATATATATATTGAGAGGATCAATGATTATATGAGTGACGGCGCCAAGGGAAAACCAGATTTCTGGCTTTAAAATTATGACTTATATACTAAATATAAACCAACATAGTTTGGATTTGTCCGCGAACAAATCTCAAACTCTAGCTAAACTAATGTCTCCATAATACTTGTTTAAACAGATGATATCGAATGGTGCTAATGAAGAAGGATCCACTTCTGTAATCTACTAAGTAATTATGACCATTTATATTCCTATAATTATATTCAAGAGGATGAACCCAAAACGTTACCAAAGATTAATATTCACAGTTATATATAAATTATTTGCAAATATCAAGATTACTTTTTATTTAAAGTTCATAAATGGTAATTGTTTTGTGTTTTTCCGGCAAGTATATTTATAAGTTTAAAACATGAAACTAGTTTTTCTTGGCATCACTCATATATTTGACCAATAAAATTGTTTAAAATGGACAGATGAATAAATTTTAATAATAAGGTGATGTATTTCTTGTGAAATCTTAGCATATAGCAAAAAAAATTTAATAAACCTTTTTAGATTGCTTTTTTATATCCAATATATTTTGTAATGTCTGATATCGAAACCCAAGAAGTTAGGCTTCTAAAACCTAAATCTACCCTTGGGCAATCAATCTTTAATTTTTGCAATGTTTTAATGGGTAATATATTGAATCAGTGACTCTTGTCTCGGCTTAACTATTTTCAATTATTACGTAAAATTAACATTATCTTTTAATGGCATATTTCAGGCGTTGGAATCCTTTCATTACCTCTCGCATTGAAATATACAGGATGGATTATTGGGTTATCATTATTATTTTTCTGTATGGCAGCTACAAATTACGCAGCAAAGTTATTGGTAAAATGTTTAAATTATAAAGAAGGAATTTATACATATCCTGACATAGGT